GGGGGGTGGGGACACACAGAACCCCAACGTGTCCCCTGCGGGGGTTTTAGGGCGCGTGGTTGCATCCAGCCCCGGCTCTGCTTGGATGCGTGGCAAGAGAAGACGGATCCAGATCCGATAACCTTGTCCGTGGCTGGCCAACACCGGGACGGGGCTGCAGGGCCAGAGGCACKTTCAGCCCCCAGATGGACATTCTTGGGGATCCCCCTGGCTCCTGCATTTCAGGGACTGTGGTCTATGGGGTTTCTGGCTCTCTTGTGGGATCAAACCCCTGATCTCACCCAGCGCTGGCTCCTGGCGTTGGCTCGGCCACGGAAGGCTCCTCGGTTTGTGTGGCCGCTCTCTATCACGGAGCCAGCAGTGACCTTGCTCCCCAGCCCATCCTCTTCCTCCCTGTGCACCCAGCCTCTCCCTGCTTCCCCATTCCTTCTCCTGGCCCCCAATACCCCYGGCTCTGTGGAATACCAGCCCCACACTGGGAGGCTCTGAAGGGAACTGGTAGCCTGGCTGGAGCAACATGACCTTGGTCACGGATCGACCCCTTCCAGGGGCCTCACAGGCCCATGGGACCCCCAGGGAGGGGACTGGGGGCTCCCCCCAGCCACAGGGGAGGCCGGGGGGGAGTTTGCCATTTTATCCTGTGAAATCACCTGCCTGGCTTCGCTCAGGAATAGAGGCCCATGCCATACCGCAGCCCCCCCTCCCTCCAGGGTTTCCAAAAGGCTAAATTTAGCATCCCCGCGTGCCCTGTCCCCTTGCTTGGGCAGGGGGGGACACGTCCGCGTCGCCGGCTGCGTCCCTCTGCCCGCAGCTCTTTCCCGCCTCGCCGGTGATAAAAATAGCACTTGGGGGGATTGTGACAGCCCCTGCGGGTGGAGCAGCACCGCGGGCTGAGGGTCCGTCCCTGGCACCAGCTGATCTGGGCTCTGTGCAGTGGCCGTGGGGATGCTGAGCTGGGGAACGGGGCGTGCAAGGCTGGCATGTGAAGGGACAAGGAGATGCCACCCCCAGCTATCTGGCTGCCCCTTTCTCCCCCAGGACTGAACCCCAGGGCACTCGTGGTGCTCCCAGCCTCCCCTGGCCAGGTTAGCATCTGCCAGCACTGGCATCTCCTGCAGTAAATCCTTCCTGGGAGCTTTCTGCAGGGAGAGTGGCCTCACACGTGCAGGTCACTGTCACCCAAAGGACCCCCCAGAGGGACCCCTGAGAGACCCCTGTACCAAACCTTGAGCCAGCCACCTGGGGCATGGTGGTGCTGGGAGGGTTTGGGGACCTCCATGCCCTTGGGGGCTGATCTCCTCATCGTCCCTGTGGTGCCCAAGGAAATGGGGGGCTTCAGTCCAGACCTGCTGATGGCCTTGMTTTTTTGGGTGACTGGCAGTGTGGAGGGGATGGACTGTGGAAACTCACGGGCAGCCATGCCCCTGACAGCCCCCCAGCTCCCTCTGTCCTTGGGGATGAATGCAGAAGGGATGGATCCAGGGGGTTGGGGGTCCAGTGAACTGTGGCAGCTGGAGTCCCCCAGGTGAGGGGAAGGGGGCTGGCATGGAGCCAGCGTCTCTCAGCTTCCACCCCAGCSCCCACTGCGCCCCGTGGTGACCTGCCTGCCGCTTCACCAGGTGGTCCCCAAGTCCTGTTTCCATCTGAGACGGAGAAAAAGTGCAAGGTGGGACGCAGGGCCACTCCCASCTGAACTCAGTCTGGTTGTGTCTGGGCTYCCCAGGTCCAGGCCAGCATCCAGSGTCCTCCCACACCCCCTCCCACGGATGGGTAGCGCCGTTTCCTCTCTCCCCGCACCACCCTGGGCCTGAGGGCGCAGCCCCTGACGCAGAGACCCCCGCTCCAGCCCCGGCGTCCCGTCCCAYCCCGCCGGCACCATGGATGAGTCGTTCCGGGACCGGACCGCGTTCATCCGCGGCGCCAAGGACATTGCCAAGGAGGTGAAGAAGCACGCGGCCAAGAAAGTGAGCCGGGGCATGGACCGAGTGCAGGACGAGTACACCCGGCGCTCCTACTCGCGCTTCGAGGAGGAGGAAGATGACGAAGACTACGCGCCCCAGGACGGCTACTACCGGGGGGGCGAGGGAGCCAACGAGGAGGAGGGGGTGTCCAGCGATGCCACCGAGGGGCACGACGAGGAGGATGAGATCTACGAGGGCGAGTACCAAGGCATCCCGCGGCAGGAATCGCTGAAGGGAGGGGAGCGCCTGGGGGCCGCGGCGGCTGCGGGCGCCTTTGACGACAGCGAGGGGCAGCGGAGGAAGGACCGGGAGGAGCTGGCGCAGCAGTACGAGCTCATCCTGCAGGAATGTGGCCACGGCCGCTTCCAGTGGACCCTCTACTTTGTCCTGGGCCTCGCCCTCATGGCTGACGGTGTCGAGGTCTTTGTGGTGGGCTTTGTCCTACCCAGCGCCGAGAAGGACATGTGCCTCTCCGACTCCAACAAGGGCATGCTGGGTGAGGAGGGGGGCACGGGGGGCAGCTAGGGGGGTACGGGACAGTGATGGATAGGGGAGAGTCACGGGTKAAGGGGGACTGGAGGGTCAGGGTGACGTGGAGGGGCGCTGGGAGATGTGCAGAGATGTAGGGGAGTGCCATGGGGCATATGGAGATACAGAGAAACGTGGGATGTAGGGGGACACGAGGGCATGTTGGGCGGCAGAGAAGCACAGGAGGCTGGGGACACAGGGAGAAGGATGGGGAGAGTGGAGAAGGATGTGGGGGGCTCACAGAGATGGGGGGGGGGGGTACAGGAGCTATAGAATTGGCACAGAAAGAATTGGGGGGTCATGAGGCCATGAGGTTTGGGGTCCAGGAAGGGATATGGGGACAAAGAGGGATGCAGGACCCCCTGGCCATAGGGCTCCCACCATCCTCCTCCCAGTCCCACACTGGTTCCCACATGAACAATGGTGAGGGGGAGCTGTGGGGAGCAAACTCAGAAACTTGAGCTGCTAGTGGATGCTGAGACTGGCTTTGGAGGGTTGTGGGGTGCTGTGTTCGATGGCTTCCCTGCCTTCTCTGTGATGTGAGCCTGACACCCCCCCGCCCCAAATGCCAGGGGGTACCAGTGCCCCCCCATCCYTGAGATCTGGCAAACTTGGGATAGGGGGAGGGCCTGGGTGTGGGCACCCTGGGGGCACATCTGCCCCCATGTCCCACAGTCCTGGAGCAGAGTGGGGGAACAACCCGCACCACCCATCACATGGGATTCTGTCCCCTCCCTTCAAGGGGACCCAGCATCTTGAGCAGGGGCTCCCTGCCTACGCCCCACTCCCAGTGCAGGGATGCTCTCCCTCTGTCAGGTGACTCGGGGTGCAGGTCCTTGGGTCCCCYGGGACTAACTTTGCTGTCCCCTTCCCCAGGACTCATCGTGTACCTGGGCATGATGGTGGGCGCGTTCGTGTGGGGCGGGCTGGCTGACCGGCTGGGCCGAAGGCAGTGCCTCCTCATCTCCCTCTCCGTCAACAGCGTCTTCGCCTTCTTCTCTTCCTTCGTCCAGGGCTATGGCACCTTCCTCTTCTGCCGCCTGCTCTCGGGCGTGGGGTAAGGGGGGCCCAGCCACGGAGGGACCCCCAGAGCAGGGGCTGATCTCCCCCCGTGTGCGGTGGGGTGTGGGGCGGGGGGTGATGCCACTSCCTCCCCTTCGTCCCCAGCATCGGCGGCTCCATCCCCATCGTCTTCTCCTACTTCTCGGAGTTCCTGGCACAGGAAAAGCGCGGGGAGCACCTGAGCTGGCTCTGCATGTTCTGGATGATCGGGGGCATCTATGCTTCTGCGATGGCCTGGGCCATCATCCCCCACTACGGTAGGAGCCCAGGGCTGGTGGCGCACGAGGGGGTGCACCGGGGCTCGGCCCCACCACCGTGTCCTGTCCCTGTCCAGGCTGGAGCTTCCAGATGGGCTCTGCGTACCAATTCCACAGCTGGAGGGTCTTCGTCCTCGTCTGCGCCTTCCCCTCGGTCTTTGCCATTGGGGCGCTCACCACGATGCCCGAGAGCCCACGCTTCTACCTGGAGGTGAGGGGCTGGGGGGGCGTGACTGCATTCTGGGGGAATCCCAAATGCATCAGGGACCTGGAGTGGAGGGTGGGGTGACCCAGGAAAGAACCCCCAGGTGGGGGATGGAAATGGGGGGGAACCCACACAATGCACCTGCAGAGCATCGAGCAGGGGGATGGKGGGGCCTGGRCWGGGAGATCCAGATGGGTGTTGGAGWGGGGTGGAATTAGGCAGGAGCTGGGCCCAAGTGGATGATGTCACCCAGCCATGGAGCCCAGGGGGATGGAGGGACCCTGAGGAGGTGAYGAAGGTGGTGGAGGGTTCCCTGAGTGGATGGCAGGACCTAGGYGGGTGGTGGAGCCCAGGCAAGGGCYGCTGATGGGGTGGTCGGGGTCCGGGTCTGGGCTGTCCTGGGGTGACCTGGCCCTGCCCTCACAGAATGGGAAGCATGATGAGGCCTGGATGGTGCTGAAGCAGGTCCACGACACCAACATGAGGGCCAAGGGCCACCCTGAGAGGGTCTTCTCGGTAAGAATCCCCCTAGGGCTGAGCCCTGGGGTCCCCAGCACCCCAGGCAAGAGTGGGGTGTCCCCCAGGAGCCAGGGCAGCGGTTCCCACCTCCGGGAAAAACACCACCGGGGGATCAGCGCTGCTGTAACAGGTGGGGAAATAGGCGCAAAGTGGGGTTCTGGTGCTTCCCGGTGTCTCCAAACTCTCCCCCCCGCAGGTCACCCACATCAAGACCATCAAGCGGGAGGACGAGCTCATTGAGATCCAGTCGGACACCGGGACGTGGTACCGGCGCTGGCTGGTCCGATGCCTCAACCTGTCCCAGCAGGTGAGGCCGGAGCTGCCCAGGGGTCCCTGTGCCCCCTGCGTCCCCCGCACTTTGTCACCTCCCCATCCGTGTCACCTCCCGTGTCCCTTCGCAGGTCTGGAGCAACTTCCAGCAGTGCTTCGCGCCTGAGTACCGGCGCGTGACCCTGATGATGATGGCAGTGTGGTTCACCATGTCCTTCAGGTGCTGCAGGGTGGGATTGGGACAGGACTGACAGCACTGGGCTGGGATGGACAGGATGGGATGGATGGGATGGGATGGGATGGGATGGGATGGGATGGGATGGGATGGGATGGGATGGGATGGGATGGGATGGGATGGGATGGGATGGGATTGGGATGGAGCTAGGCAGCACTGGACCAGGACTGGGAGCATTGGGACAGGACTGAGATGGAGCCTGGCAGTACGGGGTGGGATGAGATTAAATGAGTATCACTGGATAGCACAGACTGGCATTGGAAGATCAGGGCTGACCCTGGGAGCCCTGGGCTGGCACTGGGARCTCTGGGCCAGCACTGGGAGCCCCAGGTGTGTGGTGCCCGCTCACCCCTCTCTCCGCAGCTACTATGGGCTCACCGTGTGGTTTCCTGACATGATCAAGCACCTGCAGAGCATTGAGTACGCGTCACGCACAAAGCTCTTCACACGCGAGAAGGTTCGGCACTTCACCTTCAACTTCACCCTGGAGAACCAGGTGCACCGTGGTGGGGAGTATTTCAACGACAAGTGAGTRAGGGGAGGCTGTGCCTGGGGGTGCYGATCCTGGGATTGCTCAGCACAGGGCTGAGGGGCCTCGCTCCTGTCCCCCCACGCAGGTTTATTGGGCTGAAGATGAAGTCAGTGACGTTTGAGGACTCGCTCTTTGAGGAGTGTTATTTCGAGGACATCACCTCCAGCAACACCTTCTTTAAGAACTGCACCTTCATCTCCACTGTCTTCTACAACACAGGTGGGGGACAGGGGGTTTCTAGGTGGATGGAGGGGGTGATCCACCAGGGTGGTCCCCAGGGTATTGGTGGGGATGGGGGTGAGCCACCAGGTTGGAGGAGGGTGAGGAAAGTCCCCAGTGGGATGATGGTGGTGGAAATAATGTGACCCACCAGGGTGGTCCCCAAGAGGATGGTGGAGGTGTGATTTACCCACCAGATAGGAGGGATCAGAAAGGTCCCCAAGGAAACGGGGTGACCACATGGCCCCCTCTCCCCCCAGATCTCTTCGAGTACAAGTTCATCAACAGCCGAGTGGTGAACAGCACATTCCTGCACAACAAGGAGGGCTGCCAGCTGGACTTCAGCGACGACAATAATGCCTACATGATCTACTTCGTCAGCTTCCTGGGCACCCTGGCTGTGCTCCCCGGGAACATTGTGTCAGCCCTGCTCATGGACAAGATTGGCCGCCTGCGCATGCTGGGTGGGTAGGGGGACGGGTCCAGGGCAGCCTGGTTTACCTTCAGCAGGGGTGGGCTGGGGGGTCCTGGAGGTGCCTTCCACCCCAAACCAGGCTCTGCATCTTCTTGAGGCACCTCCCACCTGCGGGGTCACTCCACCACTATCACCTTCTGGGGACACCCACCCCATCACTATCACCTTCTGGGGACACCCACCCCATCACTGTCACCTTCTGGGGACACCCACCCCATCACTATCACCTTCTGGGGACACCCACCCCATCACTATCACCTTCTGGGGACACCCACCCCACCTCCATCACCCCTTTGGGAGCTTTCCTGATCCCCCCACTGCTCACCTCTATCTCTGCTGATTTCCTGGGGAACTCTCTGTCCCTCCTGATGGGTCACCCCCATCTCCCTCCCCCTTTGGGGTCTGTCCCAGCTCCTGTCTCAGTTTCCCTGTGCTCTGACGTGTCTCTGTGTCCCCCAGCTGGCTCCAGTGTCATGTCCTGCGTCAGCTGCTTCTTCCTGTCCTTTGGGAACAGCGAGTCTGCCATGATTGCACTGCTCTGCCTCTTTGGGGGGGTCAGCATTGCCTCCTGGAATGCGCTCGATGTGCTCACCGTGGAGCTGTACCCCTCCGACAAGAGGTGGGGGCCTGCAATGGAGCTTTTGGGTGCAAGGAGGGAGSTTTTGGGTGCTGGGTGGGAGGTTTCAATTACCAGGTAGGAGGTTCTGGGTGGGGTGGGAGGATTTGGGTGCTGAGTGCCAGGTGTGGAGGGTTTTGGATGCCAAGTGGAAGGTTTTGGGTGCTGGGGACAATATTTTGGGGGCCAGGTAGGAGGTTTTGGATGTCAGGTGGAAGAGTTTGGGCTCTGGGTGCCACCTATGGARTCCTGGGCGGGAAGTTTTGGATGCTGGGTGCCAGACCTGAGGTACCAACTGCTGGGTACAGGTTTTGGGGTGCTGAGGGCCAGGTGTGGGTTACCAGCTGCTCGGTACCTGTTTGTGGGTGCTGGCTGGCAGGCACCTGGGCTGCCGGCTACTCATTTTGGGGTGCTAAGATGCACATTTAAGGGTTTTGAGTTCCCATTTGAGGCTTCCAGGTGCCCATTTGAGGCCTCCAGGTGCCCATTTTGGGGTGCCAGGTGCCTGTTGGGGGCTGTGCCCTCTGCAGCTGCCCCCCAAGAATGGGTGCCCTCCCCTCCCTCTGGGGGTGCCTCCCCCCAACCCCAGCTCTCTCCATCCTCCTCCTCCCCAGGACGACAGCATTTGGGTTCCTGAACGCGCTGTGCAAGCTGGCAGCCGTGCTGGGCATCAGCATCTTCACGTCCTTTGTGGGCATCACCAAGGCCGTGCCCATCCTGTTCGCCTCGGCTGCGCTGGCCCTCGGCAGCTCCCTGGCCCTCAAACTGCCCGAGACACGGGGGCAGGTCCTGCAGTGATGGGGGGGCTGGGGGAAAGGGTCCCCTCTCCCCAGGGCCCCCCCCAAATCCAGCATTCCCCCCCCTCCTCGTGCCCTGGGATTAGTCGCGTTAGACACTGTGAAACGTCTTCTTGGAGCATTTGGGATCTTTTTCATTTGCACTTGCCCCCCCTTTCCCCCAAAACCTCCCCCACACCTCAAACTCCCCCTGACCCTTCAAACACTCGTTCTGATTCGCCAACTTCCCTCAACCTCCAATACCCCCCTCAGCCCCCCAATTTCTTTTCTTGGTGTCACCCCCTCTGTGAGTTGCTGCTCATTCCTGGGGAGCTGTGGGCTGGGATTTAGGGGGCCCCTGGCATCAAGGGGGGATGACACAGGCCCCCTGCACCCCCATTTCTCTGTGCATCCCCCAAATCCCTGCTGAGCCGAGGAGGAGGAGGAGGATGAAGCGTCTGGGTGTCAGGGCCCCCTGTGCCTGTTTCCCCATCCCTGCGGAGTCTCCAAAACCCCCACGGATTTGGGGGGGCACATGGGGTGGCCATTTGGGGTGAAAGAGCCCTTGGAGTGCCTCAGCAATGCCTGGGGGGGGCACAGGATATTGGGGTACAGGTCTCCTTGGGCTGCCTGATAATTTTAGGGTGGCCTCCCCTTAAAGCACATGCCTCCCTTCCCCCAGGATGCCCCCAGTTTGGGGTGTCTGACTTTCAGGCTGCAAAGCACAGCCCCCCCGAGCCACAGCCCAAATCCTTGGTCTCATTTGGGGTGCAGCGGGGGGGGAACCCCAAAACTGCCAGTTCGTGATTTTTAWCTGATTTTTAAAGGATTTTCCCTATTACAGGGAGGCTGGTGTGGGTGAGGGGGGGCACGGTGGGCTCCCTGCACCCTCTTTTTCTCCTCCCAGCCCTTTCCCTCCCTGCATCCCCATGTCCCTCCCATGCCCCCTTTTCCTTCCCCCAGCCCAAAACCACCAGCGGTTTGCAAAGCACAAACAGCCCCTACCCCCCAAACAATCGGGGTACAAGGGGTCCCCAGTGCTGAGCCCTCCCTAAAAGAAAGGGGTTCAGGGGGTCCCAGTGCTGTGCCCCCTCAAAACATGGGGTTTGTGGGGGTCCCCCATGCTCTGCCCCACCACCCGCCCAGCCCCACTGGGCCAGCAGGGTTGGTCAGAGTCCCCCAGGAGCCCCCCTGCCCCAGGGCAGCCCCCTCCCATTCCAAGCAGCCCCTGTGTGCTTTGTCCCCCCCTCGGTGTAGCTGGTCTTTGGGGCCCCCCTGGCCCCCCTGTAGCTCTGTCGTGCTGTGCTGTAGTTTCAGGTGTTTGTAAATTAATTAAAATGGAAAAAACATCCCAAAAAAGCACAAAATTACCCAATTACCGCCCCCCAAAAAGAGTTCGCCAGACTCAGCTGCCCACAGAACACATTTATTTGGATTGATTCAGAAATTAAATGGGGGGGATACCCCAAAAATCCCACCCCAGGGTGGGAGTAGAGGGTGGTTGGGGAGGTCCAGGCTGGTGGCGGGGTCGGGGCTGAGCATGATGGTGGGGGGAGGTGTCACCCCATTAATTCTGCCCCATCCCAGCTTCAGGCTCCATCTGCTTTGCTGACACCAAGSTGGGGGTCCCGGGAGTCTCCTGCTGTCCCTGGGGGCTTTCCTGGGCCGTCACTGCCGCCCCGGTGCCTCCCCCTTCCCCTCGGCGCCGCTTGGAGCCCCCGAGGCAGGGGGGCGCGGGCGGGGCGCGGGGGTCGCGCTGCCACTGCTCGGGGCTGCGGGCGATGATCTGCAGGGCGTGCAGGGGCCCCGCCAGCTCCTCCCGCAGCGCTTCGTGCACCAGCCGGTGCCGCTGCACCGGGGGGAGCCCCGCGAAGCGCCCGCTCACCACCAGCACCCCGAAATGACTCTCGACGCCGGGGGGGCCCCCGTGGAGGGGAGAGTCGTCCCGCACCTCCAGGTGCGTGGGCTGCAGAGCCGCCGTCAGCTTGGCGCGGATGGTGCGGGCCAGGGGTCCCCCCGCGCCCCCCATGGCCCTCCCGGCGGCCGCCAGGACGGGAC